AAGCTCCTCGTCCTTCTGATCTAACTCGTCTCTAAGGGACTGAGGGTTACCACCTGCCGAAGCCGTGCACGCATCTCACGGTACTTATCACGATAATGGACATACTTCGAAGCCATCTTCTGAAAAATAACCTTCCGCCTCTCTTCTCGGCGGGCACTTTTGATCTCCAAAATGAAAGTCTGAAAAAGAAAAGAGAGTAAGAAGAAGACTCGTAAAGAGAAGAAAAAGACGCAAGTTGCAGAAATGATACAAAAAACTTACCCTCAGAGCCATCCCGGATATGCCCAGTGATAGTTCGAAATCCAGGAGGGCCTGAAGGGTCCTGTTTTTGGCGACATAGCAAAGAGGAGCAAAGGAGGGGACCATGCTCACCGTGACCTCCAACAAATCGCATTCCAAAGGAATTACAATCGAGCGAGAGGATCCATCCGTTCTCACCTCCACCCACGTAAGCCCTTTGTCGAATATCCTCGTCTCCTCGGGATCGACATCGGAGCCAGATTAGTAATCATCTACGATCACTCTCTTCGCCCTCTCCTCAGCGGAAGATGGAACGTTGGCTTGCCCTGATGTTGACGGACCACTCCGAGGAGTGATCACAACCGCTTCTGGGCGTCCTTCTTCTTCCGCGGAGGTGATCTCTACGTTCGAAGGAGGCACGGTCTCTATATCCAATGCCATACCTCCCCTTGGCTCGGCCATGGTCAACTCAGGTCCACTCCCCGCCGGCTCCTCTACGACCACTCTCCTATCAGCCTCTACCCCTCGCCTTTTTAGCGAAGCCTCTCCTTCGCCCTGGTCTGACTCATCGACCAAGTGAAACACTGTAGAAGCCAAAACCTCTGCTAGTGTGGCAGCAACCTGGCGACTAGGACCGTGCGAGGCTGGGGTCTGAGGAATAGCAGCGGCCTGAGCAGGTTCACTTGTAGCCACATCGAGTATGGGCTCAGCCAAAATAACCAACTGGCGAAAAGAAGGCGTAGGAGCCCTCGCCCTCCTTGAAGCCCTCCGACCTACAAACGAAGAAAGATAAATAAGAGACAGGATAGAAACGACGATATAAATGTCAAAACAATCAAAGTCAAAGGTAACTCACCGGCCACAGGTCTACGCCCAAACCTCTCATTAAAGTGCGACCACTCCCTAATCCCCACAGTATGAGGCAAAATCTGACTCACCCAGTCGCGAATGACAATGACTGGCGAAGGAGGATCCCGCTCGGCTGCAAAAAGAGAAGGAGAACGATCAGATCGCCCAAAATAAACAACGAAGTCATTTGGGAGAAAAACACTTACGAGCAAAGTTCCACTCCTCGGGGAATCCGCTGGCGTTTGATGCCACGTGCTCTGTCTTCACGTAGAAGAAATTTTCCCAAAAAATGATGATTAGTTTTATCGTCCATCTTCACCACCAACCCCTTGGTCTCGCGGTGGCGCATATGAATCATCGTGCCCCTATGAAAACTTGGGGCGAAGAGGTGAAGCAGATGGCGGAGAGAAATACCACGGTTGACCAGCTCCGCGTACTTGATAAGCATAAGGAAAATCTTGTATATGTACGGAGAGAGCTGAGCCGGGCACACGTTGTAAAAACGGCAAAAATCCTCCGCCAAGGAAGGAAGAGGAAGTGTGTAGCCAACAATGAACGGGTATGCATAAAATGCGCAGTGCCCTGGGCGATGTGTTTGCACTACATCATTACCAGCAGGGATGATTTAAACGTGGGCCGGGATTCGCCGCTTATCCCTAAATGCAGTCATCGCCGCTGCATCCATCTCATAAATGACGGGTTCAGGTTCACCCTCAGGTGGGTTCTTGAAGTCTGACCTAGCCTTCCCCGAACGTAGAATTGTCTCATCCACAGTGGGGAAGTTTTCATCTTCTACCACCTGAGCTCCTTCTTCATGAGGGGTACGTCCACAACCAACGTTACAGGATCAGAGGAAGCACTAGCCATTTACCTGATTGTATGCGAAAAGGAAATGCAAAGATAAAGGAGATGACAATAGCAGAAGATGTTGAAGGGAGAAAGAAAACACAGACGCTGGAAACTTGAAAAAGGAAAAACTCAGGTTTCAAAGGCTCTAGAAATGCAACAACTCAAATGAGGAATACCTATCCCTATTTATAAGAATATGGGCACCCCAATCGAGAAAGCCCAAACGCCGCCTCATTAATTTCGAAACAGGAAGAGGCACGGGAAACGATGTAACGTATTGGGAACATGCGCCATAATGACGCATGATGAAACGATGTCATTTATAACTAAAGTAACGGTCAGGTGTGGCTCTTGAAGCGCCACGTCATCACCTCGCCATAAAAGGGTCATTCCTCGGCCAATGTGCTCAGATTTTTCAAAATTACAATATGCCCACCGAGCTCGTCCAAAAACAACCCAAACTGGCGGAGGGGCTAACTGTATGGGTCAAAATCTAATTGAAGGGATATCGCCTGAAATCGGGAAATCATGAATCAATTAGGCCGAGGTAATGCTTAAGAAGCAACACTAGCGAGCCGAGCAGTGAATGTCGAGGTCGAGCACTCAAATCGGCCAAAACGGCTAGTTTAGCAATAAGATATTTCTAAAGAATATCCAAGGAATATTCTCTGTATTTGTACTTTCAGTAGGTAAGGGGAATGTCCCAAATAAGTAGGAATAGAGAGAGAAGGAAAGGGCATCTAATTTTTCTATCTTGATAAGCTCTCTCTAGAAAAGTTGACTCCCTCATAACTAAAAACTTTATCTTTATGCAAGATTGGATTTGCTGTGTTGTTCCAAGCTTTCCCACTTCAGATCCGATAAAGTATTTGATATTCCCACGTTTGGTTATCTTACATCATTGTCAGAGGGAGAATCATCCACCTCATTATACATTTGGGTGACTTATTCTCTTTATTTACAGCTATTGCCATTCATTATATTTATTGTTTGTCCTCATTCCCTCATTTATTCACAAGAATATCATTAAATCTCCTTTTGGTTTTTAATAGCTTTGAATGCGGTTTCTAGGTTATTACTACCCATCAATCTTGGATCTAGGACTTATAATATTTAACTAGAATTTACCTATTATCATTTACTTAATTAGTTTAACAAAAAGGTTTAACATTTTTTGGTCAAATAACTATGTCAACCACAACTTAAAACGAATAAATCTCCTAACATTTTCTTAACGTGGCTAGACGATCACGTACTCTTCTCTCTATTCTCTCGTATACAATAATGCTTAGCTCTTACTGTAACATGTTTTTTGCTTTTTTTATTTGAGAGAAAAAAAGGTGGACAGAGTTTGCTCATTCGCAGTAAACTTGTAAGACTGTCAACTTGGGTTTCAAGATCCGTCAAATAAATAAACGACTGGCGTTTACCCGAAACAGGAGAATTTTAATGCAGAGAGGAACACCTGATTAATTTCATATCATTACCAGCAATTAGTCGTCAATTTCTTTAATCAATCCAGCATAATCGTCTGCGCTTTCATTAATTTGCAGCATATACTCCTTTCATGGTTGTTGGTACTATTTTTGTGGCCTCTGTTGATGTTACTGTTCTATTGTCTTTTTTCATTTTTTTGTGCCGAGGGTATATCGGCATACACACTATCTCTCTACCCCAAGGCAGGGGTAAGGTCATTCCTCTTCCCAGACCCCACTTGTGAGATTATACTGGATGGTGGTTGTTATTATTATTGTTTACGTTAAGGCAAAAACTTATGACAAGACTATCAATTTAATAATTTAGAACTTTCTGTACAAGGAAAGGACAAAATTTCCACACATCATATACAATGGATTCAAAATTATACATGAACAATTAACAACAGCTCGGGAACTCCTTTGGAGAACTAAAATAAAAAGAAAGTACTCATTCCAGCTTGACTCTGTTTTCTTCTAGCGGCTGTTACTTGGGCTTAGCGGGGAAGTATTTTATGCCAATTACATCACCAACTCTGCTGATAACCACGCCGTAGCTCAAACCTAGCAGCTTCTTTTACAAGAATAAGGATTCATCCTCACTACTAAATTGTAAGCAATGCTTTAGTTCAAAACTGTCTACACTAAAAATCTTTCTGAAGTGCAAGTGACAAGTGATAACTCATTGCACTATGGTTATGCAAAAGGTTATCCGGAGCGCGATTAGTGCCGACGAAATGAGGGTAGAAAACACAAGAGAATTTCCTCGTCAGAAATGACAGAAGGAATTTAAGCGCAAGCTCTACCCTCCAGTGCTTTATCAAAGATCCTCTCGTGATTGAGTTATGACTGTTCTGGCCAAAAGTAAAAGGGTTGCTGGAAAAGCAGTAAAGGAAGTAACTTCCAAGATACGAAAGTTTTAAATTTAACAATAGCCAATTTGTAAAAGTATGGGCCTGAAATGATAAGAGAAGAAACTGTACACTCTGTCTAGAGACACCACCCTTGAAAAAGTACGTGTTTTTGCAGGATAGTAGAGCATGATGTGAATCAATGGGGAATCATTGTCCCCCAGGACCTCAAAACCCATCTTCTGCAGTACTTTTGATGGAAAATATTGCTATTTTCGCTAGTTTCTGAGCCCCTAAAACAACAAAGTTGCTCTAATGATCAGTACGCAACTTTTTACTACCCCGGCGTTCAGATGCCATTACAATTATAACAAAGTGCAAAATAGGAGTAAATTTTGACAGTCAAAGTTTCTGACCTCTACTAGATCTTCACCAAGTAACCTTAATAGAGGAAATGATTTGTTGCGCAGCTGGAGGTGATATTGATGTGGCATATAGATGAGCTGGGCAAGTGTTGTACTTCAAATATTCAATAAGTTCCTGAAGATATTCGAACTTTTATATAGCTCTCTAGTCTACGCAATTTGTTCATTCATCAAGTGTAAACTGTTTCAACAAAGTGGTGCATAAAGCACAGTATCACATCACGTCATCCATCTTAACACACCACTGAAGAAAACAGATTATTTTTTTCATCAACATATTTTTTTAAACATTATAAACCATTCATCTGGGGTTAATATATTGGTTATTTAAATACAAAGTTTCAGTTCGATTCTGATTACAACTACTATATATTACGTACAAAACGCAGAAATAGATATACAGACAAACAATTTGTAAATATTTTAAAAATGTATTCAGAAGAACTAATGAATTATACTGAAGTAGTTTAAGATTGATATATTAGTGTCGGGGGCTGGAAGAGTCTGCTCGGCTTTGACGTTTCTTCTTGCATCTCCAGGCAAGTTGTACCGCCGCCGGCCATATGGAGATCCATACCTGAAATATCGCTTCTTTACATATTTTACATGCATGCTACTATAAAGACTATCAGCTATTTATTAAATAGTGTCCAAGCTGAAAGATGGGGAAAAAGATAAGAGCATCAAACAACAAGAAAACAAAAATATAGAGAATAGCATCATAAATCTTCTTCCTCCAATTTAAAGCTTTACATCTAACTCCAGCCACTGATTAGTCCATGATACCAGCAAATCCATTGCGATCTCGCCTCAACCTCAACCCCCCCCCCCCCTAAAAAAAAAAAAAAAAAAAAAAAACCACCAAAAATAAAAACATCACTCAAAGCAAAAGATGAACATAGAAGAGAGCAAAAAACATCCACAAGGTAATGCTTCCAGCCTATGATATATCAGAAAAGGGAAATGCGGAGCAGAAACAAAGAGACAAGAAATAAGGGAAACAGGGCATTCTGTTATGAGGAAGAAGAGGGCAGAAGTATAACGTTCTGGATTGTCCACAAGGATAGCTTAAAAAGACAACATAGCATTCCACAAAATTTTTGAACAACTAAGATTATAACTTACTCCAGATGGTGTTGAGTCTCCCACATCAGCTAAGGGATGGGGGAATTGGTCTCTTTATATGGCTTGGCAATCCTCACCTCGTGAACTAGGTTTTGGGGTTGAGTTAGTCCCAACGTCCATTTCTTTATCAGTTGAAGAGAATACAAGTATACTAGACTAAGTGTCGTTGTTCTAGTTCTGCCGAATGATAAAGATTATGGTTTTGCTGGTGGTCAGGAATGAAAGTATAAAGAAACCGGAATGGGTTTTAATCAGTGACATTAGCTTGAGTAAAGGCTTAATGACTTGGAACTACCACCTAACTTTAAAACATATACATGTAAATCTGATATGATCATCTCCAGAGAGGCCCTTCTAGTTGATCTTCTCATATTTTGTCTACTTTACAAATCTGATACTATAGGTAGAGCCATGAAAAATCAATGGCACATTATTTTGTTTATCACCATGTATCGAGTGTTTTCAACAAAACAAATAAATGGATTGGAGATTCAATAGCTATAAATTTAAATTACCTTATGGCACCTTGAACACGTGGACTCCTCGAGAATCTTGCGAAAAGATTGGTGACTTCTTTAAGATCTGCAGCTCGTAATATAAAGGCTTCAACATTTGTTAGGCACCTAACTAGTCTGTTGCTCAGCAATCTGTGTCCTGGAATTCTGATCTTTTTTCCATCTGCAAGGACAAAATGAAAAGCGACGATAGGAAATCATTACAATATGTATTTCAAATTCACAACTCTACCTCTTCCAAGACTGTAAAAATTACTTGGAGCTTATCAAAGTTTTAGACAGCCCATCCGATAAACTGGTAGACTAAAGGCAGCAATGTTTCAAGTTTTTACCACTCTTCATATGGTTTTCAATTATATTCAATAAAAATTGTGTAAGCTTAACTTCATTAAACAGGGAAATCACCTCTGTGATTACACTGATTGATGGTTCACAACAAATACTTATCTGAAAATCAAAACCATCAAATGTAGACACATAAACCACATACTTATTGACCCTGGCATTCTTATGACCACTGAATGTCCATCCTCTCAACACCAAAAATTTCGACAAAATCCAACTTTTGACATTTCAAGTTTAGCTAGTCTGATGTAAGTTGTAACATGTAAGAGAGCCAAACCTTGGTGAACCATATATGATATAAAGCTTCCAAATGATAAAACAGAAAAGAAAGAGGGGGGGGGGGGGGGAGGAGATAGTCAATTTTCTAGTTTGTATATCGGCTTTATATCAAGCACAAGACAAGAAAAGCATCACTCCAGGGACGTTTGCATTATAGTTATGTCGTATAGACTTCATAGTCTACACATTTGTACTAGTATAAGACCAAAATAAGAACAAGAAAAAAGAGTTGTTTCATAAGGACGGACAAAATCCATAAGTCCTGCAAGACACTGATAAGCTGGATTTGTACCAATTTATTCTCGACTTTACTTGCACTTGTTATGTCTTTGAGTGATAATTATTGCCAAATCTTATGACTTTTGCATGGTTTCAGGAAATAATGTGCTGACAAGGTGGAAGAGTCCAAAAGATGGAAAGAATAACAAACATCAACAACAACTATGACTCAGTCCCAAACCAATTGGAGAAAAGATAGAAAAGACACAAAAAGATGCAAAAGTGAAGAAACTGGACTCAAAATGAGAAGCTGAGCACAAGATGATTGCAGTCCTATGTTGCGCGTACTCTCCAAAATGTAGCCGCACCCGTGTCGGATCCTTCAAAAATGCACTACTTTTGGAGGATCTAACACGAATCTGGCCATATTTTCGGAGAGTCCAAGCAACATAGCTGTAGTTTGCAGGTGAGAAGTGCGGAGCACATAATATAGTCGGCAAGACTGGTCAAGATGAGAATCCTGTGGTCGCAATTCCAGAGTCACCAGGCCATTTCTGCAGAGCACTCGAAGACATCATGCGGACCGCAACATCTTGTGCCGTCCGCATTTTCTCCCGAAGGGCATTCTGGGGAACATTTGGTAAAAAGTTGCCCTAAACTATAAATAGCTAGTTTTAGGTCATTTTGAATATCTGCTAGGTGCAAGCTTGAGGGAGCACACCTTCAATCTCTCTACACCATGGAATGAAGAATTAGAGCTACACTTTGAGAGATTTATTTACTTTTATCTGTGTTTCTTTTAATAACCGTGCGTCTGGGCCAACTTGCACGCACCTCAACTAATTTCACGAGATACCTGTCACCTCCCACCAGCAACACATATCAGGTAACTCTGTCCAGCAAGGCTTAGACATATGGGAAGAAATCACCTAAGGTTTTTGCTTCCGCTATGATTTGAACCTGAGACCTCATGGTTCTCACCTGCTTCATTAACCACTAGACCACACCCTTTGATGGAACCTTTATCTCCTTTCTTTAGTTCCTCATTTTGTATTGATAAATTTGGTATAACTTTTATGGATTGGACAACCTTGTTGGGAGCTATGTTGCTCGGACTATCTGAAAATGTTGTTGGGCGCATGTCAGATCCTCCATAAGTAGTGCATTTTTGGAGGATCCGATATGGGTACGGCAACAGTTTAGACTTTGGACAGTCCGTGCAACATAGGTTGGGAGGCATCATTGATTTGGGTTTTGATTAGCTTAATTTCTACCTTGTGTATTTATTGACTTCTTGCTTATTGATGAATGGGTCTTTTGTTTATTTGATTATTCTTGCTTTACATTGATTCCAAAGGGAGTAGCTAACCCTAAGACATCCCCAAATTGCCTTGATTTGCCTTGGGAAAGGAAACTAGGGTTGAGTTTAGAGTAATCAACAATAATTTTAGGTTAATTAAGGGATTAATTGAACCTAGGCCTCATTTGTTTTAATTAAGATTAAGATGTCTGAATCTGAATGCACATCTGAATATTAAGATGTTGCATCTGCATCTGGATACTGAACCAATAATATTGTTTGTTTTCTCAACATCTGAATGAGTATAATTTATCTTTAAATTATTACATATACATAAGATTAAAATAAATGATTAATCAAATATTATATCAACAAATTATTTTAGAAACTATTAGTATAGCAATTACTCCCTCTGTTTCAAATTAGATGAGGTACTTTCCTTTTTAGTCTGTTGCAAAATAAATGACACATTTCTAAATTTGGAAATAATTCAACTTTAAACTTTTCATTTTACCTATTTTACCCTTAATGAGAAACTTTTATAACCACAAAAATGTCATGGCTCCACAAAGCTTTTAAGACCACAAGTTTCCAAAGTCTTCTTTTTTTTCCTTAAACTCTGTATCGAGTCAAACTACTTCATCAAAATTGAAACGGAGGGAGTAGATCATTAGCTTGACAAAAATGAAATGAAAAATTTAATGTATAAATGGACATTTTATATTAGATAACAGTTGAAATATCTAAAGTACAAAGAATACATATGCTATTTAAACAAGATTTGATTGATGCGCTCCTTCAAATGAGTGTATCTTTGGAGGGCTCTCACCATCTCACCCCACCCCCTTTCTTCCCCATCTCCCCTCTAATGTGATAGGTTACACAGACCCATCAGAAATTCAACGGAAAAAAATCATTCCATCTAAATGTTTCATGAAATAAGAGAATAAATAGTAAAGAAGTAAAAGAGATCCAAAATCATTAAGGTCAAGGAATCACAATTTGCCATGATTTTCATCGTAATTCTTTGGTATCATCCCAAAGTGTCTATCTCTTGGTGTTTCCATGGTATTTTTCACCTTCAATGGCAACTCACAATAAAAAATACCTCTTCACTAGAAGAAGAGATGGACTAGATCAGAACTTTGGTGTCCGACGAAAGCCATCAAAATTAGTGTAGTGTTTATCCTACAAAGATAACAGCGAGTTGTGGGAGGTTTTGAGGAAGAATGCCTTTAATTTAAAAGCGTCTGTAGTTTGTTGAAGAAAGCCGCGTATTTGAGGTCTGAATAGTTTTAAGACTCCATCACAGATCTGGCCGAATCAGATCTATTCAGACCAATAAGTGGTAGAATCTTAAAAAAACAAATGCACTTAATGGACTGAGATCTGGATAATTAAGATTCAGACCTCCATTAAGTGCAAACAAATGGGGCCCTAGTCGATTGATAGAGGTTAGGGATAACGCATTCATGCTTGTAGCCAAAATTGGAATGTGCCTGATGCAACTTGGTTAGGGATAATTAACCGAGTTAGACTAGCTAATTTATTGGGATACAGGGTAATCAAGAATCTATTAGATGTTGGGAAATACTACTAGGTAAGTAATTTCCAAAGCTAATGACATTGGCCTAGGTTTGATTAGTAAGGTTTAATTAAGACACTTGGGTAGATTTGAGCTAGTTGAGACTCTAACTCCCAATCCCTTGTTCTCCCTTGCTTGTGAGCCATTACTTACTTTCCCTTTTAATCTTAAATATTTCCACATTTGATATCTCAAACAACAATGATTAATAGCAAATTTGGTGTTTCTCATGGAACAATACTCTATCTGTTCACTTTATTGTTTGAAATGATGAGTACATTTGCTAGACAAGACATGGCGATGCTTCAGCTTACCGAGGACATGGTCTTGATATGAGGCTTTGGAGGACGAGAATTAGGGTAAAAGGTCAGATAGTCGAGCGTTTTCCTTGTCCATAACAGTAGTATTAGTGTTAGTCTTGTATTCTTAGTTGTGGATTTCTGTTACTAGTTGTTTCTTTCGCTTCAATGTTCTTATAACTTGATAGCTCATGTTACTGCTTGTTGCTATTGCTTCGTTTTTCCTCTTTCTTTGCTGAGGGTCCATCGGAAACAAACTTTCTACCTTCTCTAGGTAGGGGTAAGGTTTGCGTACACGCTACTCTCCCCATACCCCACTAGTAGGACTCAACTAGGTTTGCTGTCGTTGTTGTTGCTAGTGTAATCAGTTGCCTCAAAAGCTTTGTCAAGTTTTTTCTTCTTACGCTGTTCCAATGAACATTGTCTTATCGAATAACCATAAATTTAGAGCCAAACATTATATCATGCATATATGCCAAAAATGAATGCACCCACAAGACAATCATTAAATATCTGTAATCACCTCTGTTTATAGAAGAATGCTCAAGGCACCATGTGAGGAGTTCTTCCCCACAGGCATCCCCTTCAGACAAGGAGGCCACATTTCCATCTTCTCCAATGCTTTCCATCTTACCCCGAATTATGAAAACCATCTTGTCAATCAGACCACCACGGCATAAAACTTTGCTTCCTGCTATGTATGTTTTCAGTCTCAATCTCTCACAGATGGCATCTAAGATGGGTTCATCGAGAAGTGCAAATATCTGGACCTGCAAATCAATAACATAATGTGAAAGTCATGACCGAAGTATCAAAAAATATATATTCAGTATAAAGAGACATTTACTACCAGTAGCATGAAGTTGTTGAAGGAAGAGATCAAATATTATCTGTTTTAATAAATGGACAAATTAAAATTTGCATGGCTAAAATAATGTGTATTTTAATGTGTCAGAATTCCCACGTAAGTTGTGGATGGGAGATTTGGTCTCATTCTATGGTCTTGGACAATCCTCCCCTCAAGAGCTAGCTTTTGGAGTTGAGCTAAGCCTTAGATCCATTTCTTTATAGTTAAGTAGTTAGTCATGTATAGTGTCCCACATCGGGAAGTAGATACATATTATTATGTAATCATTGTATATAAATAGGGTTGTACAACACTTTAATCCATATAATATTTTTTCCCCGTGCATTCTCACATGGTATCAGAGTATTAGTGAGAAACTTATCGATGTGCATCATTCCAGCGACTTCCAAGAAGAAAGACTTCGCCGCCGTGCAATTTTCCGGCGACTTAAGAGGCTGTCCGTAACAAAATCACTTTCCGTTGGTGTTAAAAACCAATACCACCACAGGCTCCCCAAGGCTTCCGCGACCAAACCCCACCAAAGATCTCCGCCGACCAACCCCTCACGCTCCCTCACGCGCGGATCGGAAGTCAGATTTTCCGGCGAGTTCTTCACCACGCGCCGACGCATGTGGCCTTTTCTCGGCCAGATTTCAATTTATTTCTTTCAGACAGCTTGTTCGCGTGGTCATTCCGAGCCTACCCATGCCTTTTTCTTTTTTATTCCGATAACTTTGAGATTTTTCCGGCAACTAAACGGACTTTCTAGCAGCTACAGTGATTTTTCCGACAAGCTTCTTTTGGACAGATTATTCAGGAGGTTATTCGGAGTCTTGTCATTTAAGTTTCATCAAATTCGACAACCTTTTTATTTTTCCGGTGTGAACAGAAATTTTTCCAGCGTGAACAGTGATTTCCAGAAAATTTATGCTTTTCCCGGCACAATATTATAATGGCATTCGTATCAGAAGCCTTTAAATCACAATCCGTTTGATCCAATGCATTGAATCCAATCCAGATGGTTTCTTTACCGGATTATATTGAGTTCCTTCAGTATAAAGCATGTAAACAGACATCTTCAGGGATAGCTTCCGTTATTCAAACAGATAGTAGCGTGACTTGTGTCTCCCAATCTTCAACCTCCGAGTCTTGGGTCATTAATTCAGGTGCATCTGATCATATTTCTAGTAACAGATCTCTTTTCACTCGTATTTCATATTCTCAATCTCTTCCAACAGTCACAATGGCCAATGGGTCTCAAACCATGGCAACTGCAATAGGTCAAGCAAGCCCACTTCCTTCCTTACCTTTAGATTCAGTCCTTTATGTTCCCAATATTCCTTTTAATCTCATAGCCGTTAGCCGCTTAGCCAAATCACTTAAATGCGTTGTTTTATTTCTTGATGACCTTGTTTTTATACAGGAACGCAGTACGGGTGGACCATTGGTACCGGGCGTGAATCAGATGGACTTTATTACATTATCCTTGCAAAATCACATGGACTCACATCTTGTCTTCCTTCAATAACTTGTCTTGTTACCGATTCACCAGATTTATTACATACACGGTTGGGACATCCCAGTTTGTCAAAACTTCAGAAAATGGTACCTGATTTATCTCACTTGTCCACTCTAGAGTATGAGTCATGTCAGCTCGGTAAGCATACCCGCTCCCATTTCCCTCGACGTCTTGATAATCGAGCAGAGTCACCTTTTACTTTAGTCCATTCAGATGTTTGGGGTCCTAGTCAGGTCAGTTCTACCTTGGGATTCCGCTACTTTGTCAGTTTCATTGATGATTATTCCAGGTGCACTTGGATATTTTTGATGAAAAATCGGTCTGAGTTGTTTTCTATTTTCCAGACCTTCCACGTTAAAATTCAAAATTAATTTGGGGTTTCTATCCGCACATTTCGTAGTGATAATGCCCTAGAGTATTTGTCTTCCCCATTTCAGCAGGTTATGAACTCTCATGGGATTATTCATCAAACATCTTGTCCGTACACATCTCAACAAAATGGGGTAGCTGAAAAAAAAAGAATAGACATATTATTGAACTGCTCGTACCCTACTCATACAATCTCATGTTCCGTTGCATTTTTTGGGAGATGCAGTTCTTACATCTTGCTATCTTATTAATCGTATGCCATTCAGCTATCCGGAATCAAGTTCCATTCTCTGTCCTGTTTCCCCACATACCTTTGTTCTCTCTTCCACCCCGTGTCTTTGGAAGCACGTGTCTTGTTCATAACCTTACTCCAGGAAAAGATAAGTTAACTCATCGTGCTCATAAGTGTGTATTTCTGGGTTACTTGAGAACGCAAAAGGGGTATCGATGCTATTCTCCTGACCTCCAGTGGTACCTTATGTCTGATGATGTTACCTTCTTTGAAACCCAATCATACTTCACAGGTCCAGGTAATCACTTAGATATTTCTGAGGTGCTACCAGTTTCATCTTTTGGAGATTCAGTCACTATCTCCCATTCATCTTCCTCTACAACTCCAGCTCCACCACTTACAGCTCCAGTTCCACCACCTAGTCAGTTCAACCTTCCGCAGCTCCACCACTTTTGACTTATCATCGTCGTCCATGTCCAGCATCAGGCCCAGGTGATTCACGTCCTGCATCAGATTCTGCACCTACTGCGGACTTGTCTCCTTTTAGTCAACCAATTGCACTCCGCAAAGGTATACGATCCACACTTAATCCTAATCCCCATTATGTCGGCTTAAGTTATCATCGTCTGTCATCACCTCATTATGCTTTTATATCATCTTTGTCCACTGTTTCTATCCCTAAGTCTACAGGTGATGCACTATCTCATCCAGGATGGCGACAGGCTATGAATAAGGAGATGTCTGTTTTACATGCGAGTGACACTTGGGAGCTTATTCCTCTTCCTTCAGGTAAGTCTACTATTGGTTGTCGTTGGGTTTATGTGGTCAAAGTCGGCCCGGATGGCCAGGTTGATCGGCTTAAGGCTTGTCTTGTTGCAAAAGGATACACTCAAATTTTTGGGCTTGATTATAGCGACACTTTCTCTCCCGTGGCTAAAGTAGCATATGTTCGTCTGTTTTTGTCCATGGCTACGGTATGTCATTGGCCTCTTTATCAATCAGACATTAAGAATGCTTTTCTCCACGGTGATCTTGAGGAAGAAGTTTATATAGAGCAACCACCTGGTTTTGTTACTCGGGGGGAGTAGTGGTCTTGTATGCCGATTGCGCAGGTCACTATATGGTTTGAAACATTCCCCTCGAGCTTGGTTTGGTAAGTTCAGCACAGTTATTCAGGAGTTCGGCATGACTCGTAGTGAAGCTGATCATTCTGTGTTTTATCGGCATTCTGCTCCTAATCTGTGTATTTATCTGGTAGTTTATGTTGATGATATTGTTATTACTGGCAATGATCAGGAAGGTATTACTAATCTGAAGCAACATCTCTTTCAGCACTTCTAGACTAATGATCTAGGTAGATTGTAGTATTTTCTAGGTATTGAGGTTGCTCAGTCTAGCTCAGGTATTGTTATTTCACAGTGGAAGTATGCCTTAGACATTCTTGAGGAGACTGGAATGATGGGCTGTGGACCTGTTGACACACCTATGGATTCGAATGTTAAGCTTCTTCCTGGACAGGGGGAGCCTCTTAGAGATCCTACGAGATATAGGAGGTTGGTTGGCAAATTGAATTACCTCACAGTGACTAGACCTGACATTTCTTTTCCGGTAAGTGTTGTAAGTCAGTTTATGGATTCTCCTTGTGATAGTCACTGGGATACAGTTGTTCGCATTCTTCGGTATATAAAGTCAGCTCCAGGCAAAGGGTTACTATTCGAGGATCGAGGCCACGGCAGATTGTTGGGCACACAGATGCTGATTGGGCAGGATCATCTTCGGATTCTACGTCTGGATATTGTATTCTAGTAGGAGGTAATTTGGTCTTTTGGAAGAGCAAGAAACAGAATGTTGTTGCTCGATCTAGCGTCGAAGCCGAATATCGGGCCATAGCTATGGCAACGTATGAGCTAGTTTGGGTCAAGCAGTTGCTCAAGGAGTTGAAGTTCGGAGAAATCAGCATGATGGCACTGGTGTGTGATAATCAAGCTGCTCTTCATATTGCGTCAAATCCGGTGTTCCATGAGAGGACTAAACACATTGAAATCGACTGTCACTTTGTCAGAGAAAAGATACTCTCGGGAGATATTGTTACAATGTTTGTAAAGTCGAATGATCAGCTAGCAGATATTTTCACCAAGTCACTTACTGGTTCTCGTATTAGTTACATCTGTAACAAGCTCGATACATATAATTTATATGCACCGGCTTGAGGAGAAGTGTTAAGTAGTTAGTCATGTATAGTGTGCCACATCGGGAAGTAGGCACCTATTATTATGTAATCACTGTATATAAATAGGGTTGTACAACACTTTAATCAATATAATATTTTTCTCCCGGCATTCTCACATTTATCATAATGCGCATAACAAAATCATTCCTTAACCCTTGCACCTCCACACAATCACCACATTCATACCTTATTCCTATCCCCAGCCACCCACACCCAAACTTGCTCTATAAAGACCCCTACTGATCATTCTCCCAAACTGCCATCTATTTGTTCCTTCTAAATTTGTTTCTAAACATTTGTTGCATCTACCTAATTGGTTACTGTTGTTTTGTTCCCAATTTCCCTCACAACAAAAATTGATCCTAACTGTTTATTCCAATTCCCACACCATGTGCCACCTAGAGAATCGGCCAATTGGGTTTCTACATAATAGATTCATCCAGTACATTTTCTGAAAGACTTTCCTTAGATAACATGGCAGGTGCTAAAGAAAATGAATACGAAAACAACAACCTTGCAAAGCTCCTTTAAGTGAGCAAAGAACATACACAATTACCAAACAATACCAAAAGT